CAGTTTGGAAAGAACTCAAAGAAAAAGTGTGTTATTTTTCACTGATAAAAACTCTTTTACCACTTCCAGAAGGCCTCAAGCTGAGATGACAGATCAAAATCCATTTACTCTCTCATCCATGCACCATTTCCCCTAACACTCGGTGATCTGAATATTTCACTTGACAGTGAGAGTAATTTCAACTGCCTCAGTAATGAGTGTGATATTATCCTTGTCCACTGTTCAATTTCATAAGGAAGCAGAGATATAAGCCTGGAAATAAGGAACAAAACTCTCTTTTAAACTTCCTTAGAGTTCTGTAAGTGCCACATCATTTTCTTTTGAATTGGCATATTATGCACCTCCTTAGAAGAAAGAATCTATATTTTCACCCTAGAAGAAAAGCATTCTTCTAATTCTTCATTTGAATCGGTTTTCTAGGCCTAATACAGTAAAGGAAGATGCATTTGGTGATTATGGCTTGACTACATAAATTACAGCCAGACAGAAAGAGGGACGGAAAGTATTTCAGCTCTGAAGGTTTTAATAGAACATGTATCATTCATTTTCCTCGCCAATCCTCAACAGACTCCTATTATCTCCAGATAACAATAAGATCGGCTGCCTGCAGTTACCTTAATCACTGTGATTTCCTAAGAAATGAAGACTGACGTCTATGGAAAATTATTCCAATTATGTCTTTGAAAATTAGTTCAGAACTGTGAAAATTACCACTTTCAATATTACATTAACCTTCACTAGGTGTTATTAGTCATTCGCACAGTCTTTCTAGAGCAAAATGTGACATTACTGTCCATTTTTTTGTGTGCACTAAAATTCAACTTTGGAATTTCACAGTTATTTTTAAAACTTTGCTCAAATTCAATCTACTTAAGGTTTAATCTAACCCTTTTGTAGTACATCCTGAGAAGCAATTTCTTGGCTTAAACGCAAGAACTTGGCCAAAATGCATTTTATTGGATCGCACAGAATTGATTAACCACTTGAAAATAAGTAGAAGATAAGTGTAGAGAGAAAGATCTCTCAAAACTAACAATGATGAAAATAACAGTAGCCGAGATTTATTAAGCTCTGACTAGGACTGAATTTGTACCCGCATGTTCAAAAGCTGTGCACACATGAGTCCCTCACTTTTCACAACCATCCCGTGAGGAGGGCCTGTCTTTACTCCCATGTAACAGATGAAGAGAACTGCCCTGAAATCTGCTGCTCTAGCTGGAGTCCTCTGCTCTGTGGACAGCTGCCCCCCCCGCACCTCCCGCTCATAGGTGGCTGCCTGTGCTGCCCCCATCTCCTCTAGACACCCCCATACACACATCTGTTTCTGACTTCGATGAGAACTCACAGTGGTACATGCTACGATCAGAGCTCTCCCTCCAGAACCCAGTCAGTCCAGAAGGGGGACTGGGTGGGAAGGGTTCAGGACAGGGACTCTGTGTCAGCAACCTCTGCGCCCACAGCCATGCCTCCTCCACCCCAGCCAGACCCCTTGTTCATCTTAGCTTTCCCCAGGGCTCTCCCTCCAGCCCAGCTCCCTTGGGGGTCTTCAATCCTGCAGTCAAGTCTGTAATGCCTAAACCACACCTGCAGAAAAGCTGAGCCCCTCTTCCCCGGGACCCTTGGCCCCACGCAGTGCACCTGGCCTTGCCTCTGTGTCCCGGGCCATCCTGAGGGGCTCCGCGGTTCACTGAACTCTCTCCACCAGCCAGGAGGCGACCTGCTTTGAGGGACACGGGCACATTAGCAGTTGGTTGGCTGCAGCCAACACTGCAGATCACGCTGGCAGACTCTCATCCCGACATGGCTCAAAATGCCATGCTCCGAATTATGAGTTCTAGGAAGGAGGCAGAATTCATGCCGCCCCAACTTTTCTGTGTTTTGACTCTTGGTATGTTGTGAACGCCATGCACATTTGATGAAGATGAAGGGAAGCAGAGGGAGGAAGAAAAGGAAAAGGAAGGAAAGGAGGCCTTTGGTGTGAGCAGTTTTGATGGTGTGTTACCGTAGAGTTGACCAGCCAGGGGCCAGGCGGAGGGAGGCGGGGAGAGGGCCCTGCCACGGAGGAGGACATGAAGATGACAAGGAGAATACCAAGAACAAAAGTCACCTCTCACTTCCCACTCTCTGCTTGTCGCTTCCAGAGGCAATATCACTTTCAGCCTCACTAGCCCACCTTAAAGCTCCACTCCACACCTTAGAAACATCCCAGAATAGAGATTCATTTGTGCCGGCTCCCTGCACCTAGGAAAACTGTCCTTCTGTACCTCTCTTTGACCAAAACACTATTTACTTGAATATCAGTGGTTTGGGGTAAAGGCAAAGTAACATTAACGTGCCCTAACTGGTTTGGCTTAGTGGATAGAGCGTCGGCCTGCAGACTCAAGGGTCCCAGGTTTGATTCCGGTCAAGGGCATGTACTTTGGTTCCAGGCACATACCCAGTGGGGAGTGTTCAGGAGGCAGCTGATTGATGTTTCTCTCTCATCAATGTTTCTAACTCTCTATCCCTCCCCCTTCTTCTCTGCAAAAAAATCAATAA